TGAAAATTAAATGATCGCATTGTAGTTGTCAGTAGATAACCTTTTTCTCCTGCCAGCCAATATCTTTAGATTTTGTCAACCACTGTAGATGATTCATGACTGAAGAGAGAATGAACATTATCATGATATTTAGTTTTATGCAATAGGTGATCCTTAGATGATAGAAATCTCATTACCATGACATTCTTTTTAGATTCATATATTTTTCATTTGTTTTTATTGCAGTTCGAAGAAAATGGAAACTGAAAGGTCAGTACTTCCCTCGGTCTGGTTGGATTCTTTTTCTTTTATAAGAATCCTCTCTTTCTAATCTTGGTATAGTTCAGAAGTGTTTTTACGGCCTTGCAAGTGATGAATTGTTTTCCACTCTATCTCACAGATGAGTCATTATTTATGGTCAGTTATTGCTTGTTGTGTACACACTACCTGGCCCAAGGATTGAAAGTTTGAAATTCTCTGCACATTATCTAGATGGAAATATACCTGATGAAAGCCAAAGGATGCAATGGTTGAAATGTTGTTTTCCCATTTATTCTTAAATAGAATGTCATAAACATTTTCCTGCATAATAAGTAAAATTTCATAATAATATTCCCATATAATAGAATTTAATAAGTAAAATTTAGTAACAATTTTCCATATAATATTAAATAGAATTTCATAATAATTTTCTTTTATAATAAGTAAAATACCATAAATTTCCTATATAAGTAGAATTTCATGATTTATATCTATAAAACAGAAGATGTCTGTATGTATGTATGCTATTTATGCATGTTCACATTTCTCAACCGATTTCAATGAAATTGTGCACACATATCGCAAATTGATGAAAATAAGTCAATACTGACTTTTCAATCTCTAGACTCCTCCTCAGAAAATCAATAAAACTGACGGTGGGTATGACTTTTTTGCAAAAACAAGGCAACGTTACATGTGAACAAAATTTTTACTAGATGAGATAATGTTCTTTGCACTTAATGCAAAACATATCTCATGTTATGAGATATATGTAGAGTGCTTGATAGTTTTCCTGTGACATTGGATTCACACAAAAGATTGCAAAAACTGTGTTTTTTGTACAACTTAATATAAAAACTTGAGTAACACCCTCATTTTTTATTTGATTTTCTTCAAATATGTTGCAAAAATTTACCATCATGCAAGAAATAAGATAGTGTGGTTTTAGTCCTACTCACCTCCCGTGTATAACAAAAAATTGTTCAAGAATCCTTTTTTTTTGGCCATAACTCCCTGGTTTTTTATCCGATACTTTCCAAATTTGCCATGTAAATTACATGTGACACAGAAATTGTCTTGTGTGAATGTTTGGTTTAGATTATTTAAGTTAAGTGAATGAAATTTGTGACAAACTACATCCAAAATTGGCTTTTGCCATTTACCCAATAGTTTCTTCATATAATTCTATCCTAAATTGGCATTCGAATAACCTTTGATGGAAAAATTATTTGGGAAGGATTATTTAAGTGTTAAAAGGGAAAGATTACCAAAGAACTTCTTATGAACCCCAGGTTTACAGTAAACATGCAAAGAAGGAGGGGTGGCGTTCATGCATTATCACTTGCAGTTGAATCAAACTCTGATGCTTCATCCCTGTTTTTGTTTCATTATTAGATTTGTGAAAAATGCCATACTATTTGAAAGTTATTACAACCATAGGAAATTTACTGAATATCTAAAACATTGAAACAATTTATCCCTGAGCAATCAATGTAATTCCTTTATTAAGAAGAAACATTTGCAAAAGATATACTGTAAAAACGATGAGGGTTGTGGAGTAGGTTAGAATACCAACAGATAATGTATGCAAGCAGAGATGCAGGCAGATATTTCTAGAAAGAGGGGTGTGGGTATACATTGGTGGTGGGGTTATACAATTGCAGCCATGTACACCCGGGCAATGCAAGGTACCTCAGCTAGTTTTATTATCTAATAAGCAGAATTTCATAATAATTTTCCATATAATATTAAGTAGAATTTTATGATAATATTATGTGATAGAATTTAATAAAAGTAGAATTTCATAATAATTTCCCATATGATATTAAATAGAATTTTGTATTTTTGCAAATAATATTAACTAGGATTTAATAATAATTTTCAATATAATTTTGATTAGAATTTAATAATAATTTTTTGATACAATATTAATTAGAATTTGATAATAATTTTGATATAATATTAGTTAGAATTTAATAATTTTCCATATAATATGTTAATAAGAATTGAATAACTTTTCTTTATAACTTTAAGCAGAATTTAATAATTTTTCCATATAATAACTAGAATTTAATAATTTTTCCATGTAACATAAATTAGAATTTAATAATTTTCGATATAATATTAATTAGAATTTAATAATTTTCCATATAATATATTAATAAGAATTTGATAATAATTTTTCCTTATAATTTTAACTAGAATTTAACAATAATTTTTCCTTATAATTTTAACCAGAATTTAAAATTTTTTCTATATA